CTCACACAAGCACGAAAATATTTTATGATCATATCCAATATAATTTTTTTTCTCACAATCATATCCTTTCAAACCACCAAGTATACACTATGAAGTAATTATGCCATTAATGCAGCAAGTATCATGTGTAGCTTCAATAATAGTTTTTAACTTCTACTATAAACAGATAAATAAAAATTATACCTTTTACTAAAACAAGATTTTGTGAAAATCAGGCATTACTTGATTTAGCTCAAGATATATATATTATATCGTACATATATACATGATCATGATGATTATGATATATAATCAAATGTATGATTTTGTTTATACCATTAGATGGTAGGTAACCATATACTCCATTATGCAAGCAAAACTACGTTCCTAGTAATCGCATTAATCATGTTTAAACAGGTATTAAAAATTGATTGTAATATAAATAGTAAAACCGATTACTTATATGTAACTCTGATCAAATTTGCAGATCACTTAACCAAATTCAGAATAGAAAAGTTCTGGGTTTGGCCAAACAATTTGCAAATTTGATCAGAGTAGTTTCAATTGGGTAACCGATAATATATTCGAACTCAGATTAGTTTGCAGACTTCAGACCAGACTCAGACCGAACCTACAATTGAGTCTGAGTCTGATCTAAAGTCTGAAATTAGTAAAATTTAGAGTCTAAGTCTGGTCTGATCCTGGACTAGACTCAGACTAGACCAGACCCAGACCAGACCTAGGAGCACTAGTTAGAAGATAGGATTTATAGGTTTTCTAAAATAGATGATAATAAAACCCCAGGTTACTTATCTTTGTCAAGCCCTCTTGATATTTCACTTTTAGACTCCCCATTAATAAACATTTTACTCTTCTCCATTCACCCCTTCTTCTTCTTCTTCCTGAAGATAAAGACATTAAAAATGATCTCTTTTCAAACATACCAGCATCTCATACGAGCTGTTCTGCTTCTCTCTAGATTAGTAGTTATGACCTCTTCTCTTCTACTTCTATGTTTCATCCTTTTGAAGATGCTAATCTACTTTCTACTCCACTAGTGGGTATCAATGAAGAGAAATTTATATACCCCTGTCTAATTTTGATAACTTACCTCTGCTGGTTTATTATGATCTAGATTTAAATAGTTTTAGTAAAGAGAAATAGTATTTGTCACAAAATTTTAAGCTATTAAAGGTGAAGGAAGAGTATTAAAGTCTGATATGAATGATGAACTAGATAAAGCTAAATAGGGTCAAAAATAAGAAAAAATAAAAGAAGCCCCATGTGCTGAGTGCATATACGATGAGACTGGAAATGCTTATCTTCAAGAGAGCAGTATCAAACCTGATCCCCATAGATATATTGTTAATAGCCCCTGTGCCAAAAGCAAAAGACCTACTAGTCAGAGACCTTTTCGATTTTTACTATAAAGAATAGCAAAAACCTACCAAATCAGAAAGTTGGAATATCAGCAAAATTTAAAAGGTGCTATATATCGATAGTAATCCCCTAGATTACAATCAATATACAACCCCCTGCTGATT